CGGCGCAATATTTTTTATCACTCAGAATCACGCACACAACATAGATGAAACACTTAACTAAAATGGTTTTTGTTTTAATTTAAGAATTTTAAGTAACCCCCCGAGTATAAAGAGAATAATATTTTTAAGAGTATGATATATCAGTTTTATATTATATTATTATCTGACTTAGGAATAGACTTTCAGATTAAAAATAAAATTAAGTAAAAGGATGCTATACCAGCATGTGTAAGCAACATTACAAGGGTGTGACAWACCAAATTTAAGCTCAGCAGATCATGTTTAGATCTGTTGGTTTAAAAATTTAAGTGAATTGACTTCTTAACTTGCTAAAGAAATTGAACTATTATAAAAAAGAAGATAAAATTCTTAACTTTTAATGTTATAAGAGGTCACTTTACTATAATTTTTAAACTAATGGAGCTTAACATGATCAGTAGAGCGTAAACACATGAGATATGGTTTCCTCTTAAGGTGACTTTACATAAGATTATAGCGGGGATTATAGAAAAACAATTWAAAAAAATGATTCTAAGTAAATACATTTCGTCTATATTGCACGTGGACCAGAAAAAAAAGTGTGCTGACATCTACTTAATTACATTTCTATAAATATTTATTAACTTTTTTAAATTATATATAGGTATCAGTAACCAAAGGCAACTACAAGTACAAAGCAAATATTTAATTTGCACTTGAAATTTTAGTATGGTTACTTGTAAATAAATTAAATAAATTTGGCTCTTAAAAATGTAACTAATTAGAATTAATATTGCAAATACATTATAGTACCAATAAATGCATAATCCAGATTTGTCTTTATTAAACATGCACATGGCAACTTGTAACAGATTTTTCCGCAGTCAAAGTGGAATAAATGCAAGACTGGCTGTATTAAAAATTCACAGAAAGCCCTACAATTATCCCCCCATGACGACAGTAATTTTGAACCTAAATATTATAATTTATTTAAAAAGTACTCATTATAATCTAATAAACTTAAGTTAAAAT